GAGGGCCATCAACCCTATGTCCAGCCCCACCATGTGTCCTGGAAACACTTATAAACTCCACCAATTGTAAGGCTAGAATGGGACATATTGTTTTTTTACAGTGACACTGTTCAGCCAGGCAACTGCCTATAATCTCTGCAACTAAAGGCAGGAAAATCACAAGTTCAATGCAGCCTCAGAAACAAAGTGAGACCCTGTCTCAAAATAAAAATAAGGCCTGCGATAAAGTTCAGGTGTAAAGTGCTCCTAGGTTCAATCCAAAGAATCACACACGCACAAAAAAAGTAAATAAAGCGACAGTGTTCAGATACTTGGCAGTCTCTATAATATGTATATCCTTAATAGCCTGAGCAGTCACAGGTGTTTTTAAACACAAAGATTTTAACCTATTTGCATGATTTTATGGGATTTTCTGGATCAAGTGAATAGCAATCCATTTTCATAGATCATCTCAGAATGCTTTGAGGGGAATAAATTCTCATATATGACACCCAAAGTACAAGTAACAATAGGTCTTTATCAAAACTTAAAAAATTTCATTTCAAAGGGTACTGTGAAGAAAGTAAAAAGGCAATCCATATAATAAGAGAAAATATTTCCAAATTATACATCTGATAAGAGATCTGTACTAAAATACATAAAGACCTCTACAGCTCAATTACAAAACAATATGAAATTGGGCAAAGAAACTAAACTGATACCTCTCCAAGAAGATACACAAATGGCCAATGGGTATATGAAAAAAATACTAGACATCATTAGTCATCAGAGAAATGCAAATCATGCATGGAGATATCACTTCACACTGCAGGACAGTTAGAATTAAAAATAGACAACAAGTATTGGCAAGGATGTGGACAAACAGGGACCCTCCTATACAGCTGGTGGGGATATAAAATGGTCTATCGGCTCTGACAAACAATCTTCCAGCCCTTAAATGGTTAAACAGAGCACATGACCCGACAATTCCACTTCAAGATATCTATACAAGAAAAATGACAACATATGTCCAAACAAAAATCTGTACATGAATCATTATTCATAATAGCCAAAAGGCAAAAACCCAAATGACTATCAACTAACAAATGGAAAAACAATTTACAAAACATATATTGATACAGTGAAATGTTATTCAGCCGCTAAAAGGAAAAATACTGATAAATGCTACAGCATGGGTGGACCTCAAAAACATTATGCTGCCAGGTGTGGTCACTGTAATCCCAGTAGCTTGGGAGGCTGAGGCAGGAGGATTGTGAGTTTAAAGCCAGCCTTAGCAACTCAGTAAGGCCCTGAACAACTTAGTAAGACCCTGTCACAAAATGAAAAGGGCTGGGGATGTGGCTCAGTGGTTGAGAGCCCTTGGGTTCAATCCTCAGTACCAAAAAACAAACAAACAAAAAAGAAGCCAAGGGGAGCTGGGGTTGTGGCTCCACAGTGGTGCACTCGTCTAGCATATATAAAGCACTGGGTTCGCTCCCTAATACCACATGAAAATAAATAAAATAAAGGTATTGTGTCCAACTACAACTAAAAAAAATTAAAAATTTAAAAAAGAAGCCATTTCACATGGATTCCATTCACATGAAATATTTGGAGCCAGTGGGATAGACAGACAATAAGTTCATATTGCCTAGGTCTGAGGGATGATGGAGGAATGGGAAGTGAAAGCTAAGGACTGTGGGGATTCTTTATGGGGTGAAGGAAATGTTCTGAAACTGATGGTAGTGAGCCAGGTGTGGTCTACCTGTAATCCCAACTATCAGGAGGTCCAGGTGGGAGAACAGAAAATTCAAGGCCAGCATGGGTTACAGGGTCATAGCAAGACCCTGTCTCAAAATAAAATTGGAAAAAAAAAAAAAAGGATGCAGACATAGTAAAGTGATAGTGTTTACTTAGCATGCATAATGCCTGAGTTCAATCCCTACCTAGCACCTTAAAAAAGAAAAACTGTAGTGATGAATGTACAGTGCTGTTTTATACAAGACATCAAACCATGCCCTATAAATGAGTGGATTGCACAGTGTGCGAATTATATCTCAATAAAGTTGTTTAAAAAGATCACACAGGGACTGAAGGTGTAGTTCCCTGGTAGAAAGCTTGCCTAGCATATGAGAGGACCTGGGTTTGATCCCTAGCACTGCAAATAAATCAATAAAATCACACACTTTTGTCCATATATTTATATATTATTTTATTTACGTATATGTGTATTTGTAGACTTATTATCTTACAGTTTCTGTGGGTCAGGAATTTGAATTTGGTCAGTTGAGTGCCTTGGTTCAGGGGCTCCTGAAGTGTGGCAAGATTTCAAGTCTCAAGGCTTAAATGGAGTAGGATAGCTTCCAAGCTCACTCCACAGAACTGCCCATAGCATAGTAGTTGTCTGCCCCGAGGGTGAGTGTCCATGAGACAGAGTGAGCACCCAAGCAGAAAACAAACTCTCTATAATCTATTCTCAGAAGTGACATCCCCTCAATCAGGAATGGTGGTGCACACCTGTAATCCCAGATGCTTGAAAGGCAGAGTCAGGAGGATTATAAATTGGAGGCTGGCTTTAGCAGTTCAGCAAGATCCTGCCTCAAGGGGCTGGGGATGTGGCTCAAGCTGTAACTCGCTCGCCTGGCATGCGCGGGGCACTGGGTTTGATCCTCAGCACCACATAAAATAAAAATAAAAATGTTGTGTCCACTGACAATTGAAAAATAAATATTAAAAAAAAAGATTCTGCCTCAAAATAAAATAAAAAGGGTTGGGGATGTAGTTCAGTGCTTGCCTAGCATGTGTGAGGATTTGGATTCAACCCCTGGTCTTAGGGGGAGAAAAAAGGTGACATCACCTCATTCTTACCATATTGTACACATTGGAGCCATGTCAATAAGTACAGTGCTTGTTTAACGAAGAGGCCAGGGCCAGGCAGCACAAACACTGGGAAACAACCAAGATCTTTTACCAAACTCTACCTCATGTTCTTTTGAATTCTCTCTGCAACCAGGCTCTAACTTTGGGCTTCCATTTTCATTACTGCATTGTTCAGCACTACATTGTTTTAGCAAGAATTCTACTACTTTGGTTTAGCCAGAATCCCCACCCTTCCTATCTGATCACTGTGCTATCTGACACCCCCCCAGGGCCAGCCTGCAGCAAGAATCCTGTTAGGTTTATTGAGCCAGAATCTCCCCAACCCCTGATGTTTTCCATCCACTGACACTCATACTACTCCTTGGCTATAAATTCCCACTTTTCCTTGTTGTATTTGGAGTTGAATCCAATCTTTCTCCTGTACTGAAAAACCCTTCTGCCATAAGATTCCTGCAAAAAATCTCCTTAACTTTTTTTGTGTGTGTGTTCCTAGGAGTGGAATCCAGGAGCACTCTACACTGAGCTACAGATCACCCACCTCTCGCCTTTTTAAAAATTTTGAGACAGGGTCTTACTAAGTTGCCGAGGCTTGCCTTAAGCTTGAATACTTGCAATCCTCCTGCCTCAGCCTCCCAAGTCGCTGGGATCACAGGCAAGTACCACCATGCCTGGCTGCTTTGACATTCTTCAACAGTATCATGATTTCTTCTTTAACAGAAACCACAATTAGATATGTTACAGTAAAACTTCTGAAAACCAGAGATGGTAATAAGCAATTTAAGAGACAGCAGTAACACTGGTAATTATTTATCAACAGAAACAATGTAAACCAGAAGACAATGAAATATCTTCAAAGTGTTGGGAAAAAAAAAATCTGCCAAATCCAGAATTCTAATTTAAACACAAAATAAAAAACATTTTTAGATAAAATTTGAGAGAATTTGTCATCAGCAGATTCAACAGGGAGTTTCTTCAGACAAAAAGAAACTCATTCCAGATACAATCCTAACATGGACAGAAAGGAATACAGAACACAAAAAAACCTTTAAGGAGACTGAGGTAAAGAAAACTTCTTTTTGTTTTGAAAGGGCCAGGAGGCCTGAGGGGAGACATACAAAGACTCTGGAATCAGAAATCAAAATGGCTCTAGGTCTTTTAACAGCAAATATTAAAGTGAAAACATGGGAAAGTGATGCCTTCACAATTCTAAAGGAAAAGCACTTCCAACCTAGAACTTTACACCGGATCTCCCTAAGGTGACCCAAAGACATTCACACACATGTAAGGTCTCAAAATCATTTCCTCCTATGCACTCTTCTTCAGGAAAATACTAAAGGTTATGCTGTACACTGAGGCAAGGAACAACGATGGAAGCAGGAGGAATGGAACCTGAGGGGGAAGAGGGAGTTCCAAGACAGGGGTGCCTAGCCAGCTGGAGAGCAACCCGTCAAACTGTAGCCCATCAGGATTTGCCAGACATTCTAAGATGGTGCTGAGTTCTGGGAGGACGGGCCATTAAATGAATTATTGAGAACTTAATAACAACATATGAACTTTAACCTCATTTATTAAATTTTAGTTGACTCAGGATGGTACACAAACCATGCTGAGGTGATGAAAGGAAAAGCTACCATGTTTCTAAAGACCCGGCCCTTCTGACCTCCAGAAAATAACTGGCCTTTTTTGGTTTCCAGGGGCCATAAGAACACAAAGGCTCAGAGGACAAAGGTAGCCATACCAGTTGCAGGGGTCCCAAGAACCACAGTCATGCTCTGGGGTGGAGTGCCTGGACACTGCAGTCACAGTAAGAACCACGGCCACATATACCCCATATCCCATGATATAATGGGGTGATACCTGACACAAGATTTCTGATAATCTCAGAGAAGAGGGGCTCAATTCTAGATCTAATTTGATTTAGACCACCCAAGAAATATGATTCCTCAAAGCACAGTAGATGTCTGTTCAGATGCCCATCTTGGTAGGACTGAGGGACAAGAACATATCCATTCAGTTCTCTTAATCCATTCTAGAGTTAAAATTGCAAATGGAACAGTGGCTAATCTATATTATGACTGGCTATTACTGAACCTTTCAGAAAATCATCAGCATGTTAAAGGATGATCCCATCATTTACTCACATGACATCCAGCACAGAATCATTTCGAATGACCTTGTGGGACACATCAGCTAGCAGGAAGAGACCTCCATCTGTCCTGCGGATGCTGGCTGCATAGCCAGGCCAGATCTGCAATCTGGAGAGAGAGGTGGCCTTTACCCTAGAGTCCCAAAGGAAAACGGCCATTTCCATACCCCCAAGTGAAATAATATTTTGAGCTGATATTGCCCTTTCCTGATAACAATGAGGAAGCCCCAGGAAACAAACTAAATTAAATTGACATTACTAAAGTTTACTAAAAATTCAAGCTAAAAAAAAAAAAAAAAAGTTTAACTAATTGTATTCACTACCATAAAATTGTTGAATTTTTGTCCTTAGTAGGATAGTCACAATGAAAATTTCCTTTCCAGTATATTCAAAAGTAAAAATAAGGTGTAAAAAACCACCAACCTGTGTTGTTGTAATACCATAGCACTTGTAGGGTCATAGAAGTTTCTTCCCACGAGCTTCATATCTAAAAGTTTCATTACCCTGAAATAAAGAGCAGGAATGAGCTTTCTCTATATATACATTTTTTTCTTTTTCTTTTTTTTTGCAGTGCTATAATGACCCAGGGCCTTACACATACTAGGCAAATACTCTAACACTGAGATACATTCCCCAGACCTACAATGGGTTTCCTAATAGAAAAATATCAAAATTAAGCTCCATTTCTCTTAGCTATGATTTCTTTTTGAAACCTAAAGGGTCAGAAATGTTTTTTTTCTGTTAAGACCAGTGTTGCTAAAAGAAAAATAAAGATTATCAAAGCACTTATCTTGGAGTATGTGCAAGTGACCACAGTCTTTCCTCCTTACTAGCTAGCCAAATACTGAGTTATCCGCCAGGCTTAATTTACATTACTTGTCACCATTAGCTAAAGAGAATACCAATTTCTAAGTGTGTGAATAACAAATATGGCAAATAGAATTAGGTCTATATAAGTTCTATTTCATCAAATAAGAGGCAGTTTGGGAATAAAAGCTGTAAGAAAATTAGGGAATCTCAAAAGAAATTAAACAATTATGAGCTGTCTATAATCCTGAAATTCAGGAACTGGAAAAATTCTCCCAACAAATATTTTCAACTATCCCCAAACCCAATCTAATTTACCCAAACTTGGCCTATCACTTGTGAAATAATCGTTAAGTTAGCATCAAGATAATCCATTTACTTATTAAATGCTTAGCAATCCTTTTTGGATTATTATATATTGTAAATAACAAATTTATTTATTAAATATTTAATAACTTAATTATTTATTTAAACCAACTATACACATACACACTGCATATAATGCTATAAGCTTCTTGAAGAGCACTTCTGAAAATACAAAATGGAAATTAAAGCAAAGTAAGACTGCAGCTATTTTCTCACCGTCGGAAAACAACATTGTAGAAGGGAATGCATAAATCAGAACAGGGCTCCAGGATCTTTGTCAATTGAATCTTAATGCTGATCTCGGCATCATCAGTTTTCCTTTGACTTTTTAACTCAAGAACCTAACAAAAAATATATATACACAAGTAAAAAGAAATGACAAAATTACCAAGGCCTAATCTAATCCAACAATACCAAAATATTTCAAAATGTTTCCCCCCTCACTTTGATGCCTACAAAAGCAAAGTCACAGCATGACAACCAGGATTTAAGAAATTATTTGGTAATATAAACCCAATAAAATTTGAAGTTGAAATTTTAAGTCATTCTTTATCACTGAGATCAAAGGTCTCTTATGTGAGAAGGTACTTCTTATAGAACGCAAACTAAAGAATTTTTATTTTGTTCTGCAGATATCTGCCTTCCATCTAAAAATGAAAAGGTTCAACTCTATGGTTTCCCACCACTCAAAACACCAGACACTCTTAGGTTTCACCCAAAGTACACGTCCTCTTTGGTCTCACTTGCTGAAGCTTAATAGGCAGATAGAGAATAGATCCATCAAAAGCAGTGACATTTCCAGTGACAGCTTGATGGTCTTTCAACATGCCAAATCTCATGCTTTTACACTCCACGTTGGGGCTGGAAAATAATAAAAAGGATTTCACTTCAATTTGGCTTATATAACAATATTTACTACAGCTGTGCAATAGGTAAAGAGGTTATCAGAGAAGCAGCGTTTGTAAGTGCTCCATCTAGTGGTCATGTTAAAAAATACATAGATGTCTAATAAAACTACAATGGACTCAGGAACACCTGCTCATCACAGAAACATTGGGAAATTTAGGAAAAAATAAATAAAAACAGGGCTGAGGCTGAAGCTCAGTGGCAGTGTGCTTGCTTAGCATGTGTGAGGCACTTGGTTTGATCCTCAGCACCACATAAAAATAAACAAATAAAACAAAGGCATTCTGTCCATCTACAATTACAATAAATAAATAAATAAATAAAAATAAAAACAATCCATAATTCTAACCCCAAGGACATTTACCATAACATGTCAGTGTGTATAGCCAGGGGACTTTAGATCAGGGGATCAAAAACCTTTATAAGGGGCAAATTATAAATATTTTAGGTTTTGTGGGGCAGATAGTCTTGCAAATCTACCATAAGACTCTGCCATAAACATATGTAAACTACTGTGTAACTATGTGCCAATAGAACTTCATTACAAAAACAGGCTATGGGCCATGTTTGACCTTTGGACCAACTGTGGTTTATTAATTCCAGCTCTAGAATCCTCAGAGGAATATACTTTTTTAAAAAGGTGCTTTTTAAAAAACAGGATTTTACTCTGGCTATTTTTCACTTAGGGCTATTTCAATATTTTATTAATTTTCATTGTTACAAATATTAAACTTCAAAAAGTATCAGCAGCTACTCTGTACCAAGATTGTCCCATTATATCACAGTAATATACAACCTTACTTTACAACTCCAAAGTTTGAACAAACACAAGGTTAAAAAGGTCAAGGGTGTTCAAGTATGTGAAGAAAGACTTTTAAAAAATCAAGTGGTAATCCAATATAGTTGTCCCTAAAATTAAACACTCCCATACTAACATCACATTTCTTTGAAAAAATTTTAAATACAGGTTGAATATAACTTTTTTTGAAAGGTGTGGGACCAAAAGTGTTTTGGATTGTGGAATATTTGCAGATATAATGAAATTTCTTGGGGATGGCACCTCAGTCTTAAAATGAAATTCATTTATGTTTGATATATACCATGCACATAGTATGAAGGTCATTTTATCAGTATTTTAAATAACTTTGGGCACTAAATGAAATGTCATGGTGTGGAATTTTCCACTGATGTTATGTCAGTGCTCAAAAGGTTTCAGATTCCGGAGCACTTCAGACCTGCATACACAGAGCTACCCTCTGAACACACTATTTAAGTTTCTCTTCCTAGATCCCCTTCATGTACAATGGGGAAGCTGCAGGATGCCCACTTCACTGAATCGGCTCAGTAGTCTCTCACTGACCTAGAAGCACCTTCACATTGCAGCTTCACAGGTCCATATCTACAATCACAAACCCTACATTCCATGTCTTCTCCATGGCCCATTCAATGCTGAGTGACCTCAGATCTACGGGAACTCAAAGGATCATTTCTGTTTCCTTAAGGTTTATCAAGCCATTCTCAGAGAAAGTCTCTACCCTCTCTGCAACACTGGACTCCTCCCCTTCCTTTCCCAGCAGGCCTGCTCCCTTTCCTGGCTCCTTCTCTGTTCCTGCTGGGCTTTCCTACCTCTCTTGAAGCCACCCTGCTGCCCACTGGAACTATTCCTTTCTCATTCTTTTTTTTTTAATATTTATTTATTTAGTTAGTTTTTTTGGCATACACAACATCTTTATTTGTACGTGGTGCTGAGGATCGAACCCAGGGCCACACGCATGCCAGGTGAGCACGCTACCGCTTGAGCCACATCCCCAGCCCTCCTTTCTCATTCTTATTACAAGCTTTTAAAATGGCCTATGCTCTCCCTGCTTCTTTAAATCTTTTAGATATTTTCCTCTATAATTCAAACAGAGGAATTAGGAAATAACCAAGAACCCCCTTGTAAGTAAATCCAGCAACATTTTTTTCTGTGGCCAAAGTCAACCCCTTCCTCCTCATTCAAATTAAGTCTTCATAACCGTTTCTTTTCTTTGGTCTTCATAACTGTTTCTTTTCTCTTCAATTCTTCCACTTCTACTATCAATTAGAAGCTGCCCTTCAAAAATTTAGACTCCCTAGTATAGCCACTTTGGGAAAAGGTAGGGGGGGTCCTCAAAAAACAAAAACAGAATTCCTATTTGATCTAGCAATCCCATTTATGAATATATATAAAAAGGAACTAAAACCAGTACAAATCACTCCTGTGTTTGTTTCATCACTATTCACAATAGCCAAGACACATCTATTAGTGCTTGAATGAATAAAGAAAATGTGCTATGTATTACACACACACACACACACACACACACATACACACGTACAAATACTATATTATACTGTCTTTATAAAAGAAGAAATTCCATCATTGTGGCAATATGGATGAACCTACAAGACATTATGCCAAGTGAAATAAGCCAGGCACAGAAAGACAAATTCTCCACAATCTCACTTATAAGTGGAATCTAAAAAGTCAAAGTCAAACTCAAACAGTGAGTGGAATAGTGGAAGGCAGTGGGGGAGAGGGAGAGGAGAAATGTTGGTCAAGGGCACAAAGCTCCAGTGAAATGAGAGGATAGTTTTAATGATCTACTGCACAGCATGGCGACCATAGTTAATAATCATGTGTTATATATTTCAAAATTGCCAAGAGACCTTAAATGCTCCCATCACAAAACAAGTAGGTGATGTGATAGGTATATGAGCTTGATTTAATCTTTCTACAATGTATACATGTATCAAAACATCATATTATACCTGACAAACGGTAACTGTCAATTTTTTAAAAATTAGACTTCTGTCTTATTTTTCCCACAGGTATTTCAAAGCAGTCATTCACTTTCACAATTCCTGCTAACAATTTCTAGTTAACAACTCCCCTAAGACCTTACAAGAAATACACAAACTAATATAAATCTTAAATTTTTTTTAAAGAGAGAGTTTTTTTTTAATATTTATTTTTCAGTTTTCTGCGGACACAATATCTTTGTTTGTATGTGGTGCTGAGGATCGAACCTGGGCCGCACACATGCCAGGCGAGCGCGCTACCACTTGAGCCACATCCCCAGCCCATAAATCTTAATTTTTAAAAAAGGATGATAAATCCTAAAGTTATTGACACATAATTGAAGTTCTCTTCCTTTATTTCCTCACCCTCAAATTTAATCAACACAGGCAGAGGAGGACCCAGGTTTTGTGGGATACAGAGTGCATTTAAGACAAGGAGTACCAAATTAGTCAAAATAACTTGGAAGGGCCACATGCAAGTAAAAGGCCCTTAAGCTTTAAGTAACTTAAGCTTTATTTATTTCACATTAAATCCAATTCTAGCTTCATACAGAAACCTGTATTTCTTCAGTTAAAATCTGAATTGGTAAAATGGTTTAAAAACATAAAACACAAAAATATTAACCTTAAATTTCCTGCCAGGATCTGACTACAGACATCACTGCATGGGGAGGACCACCAAGAATTATCATAATACTGTTACATCATGTGCATGTGTGAATGTAGAACAATGAATCCCAAAATTATGTACAATTATACTGCACCAATAAAAATAGGAAAAAAAGAATTATAAAGAAAAACATCCAGTTATTCCAAGGAAACCACATCATTCCTGCCCTCTAGGAATTGAGTGACAGAGAGAATAAATGCTATAAATACCTGAAAGTCACATGATATTGATAAACTGCTTCATTATGACACTGTATTTTGATGAGGTTCAGTCCCAAAGATTGAGGTGTTCCTTTTGATCCTTGCTTCACAAAAAGCTCTCTGGGGGAAGGAAAAAAAAAAGGAATGCAGCCAGAGCATGTAGTTCTTGTTACTCAGGGTCTGAGGCAGGTGACTTACTTTCACTCAGAAGTTTGAGATGAGACTAGGGCAACATGAAAAAGAAAGTACCCACATATATACCAACAAACAAACAACCCACACCAACAACAAAAAGGTTGTGGAAATGATTTTTTTCACCCTTCACTTAACATAAGCCAAGAACCAAGATGTACAAATGCAAGCTTTGAAGACTTGAAATCCTTAGCAGCATCTAGTTAGACAGGCAGGGCCACGCTACCTGTCCCAACCATAGTGCTGGAACAGATGAGGTCAGCTAGCCAAGAGCAAAGACCTGGTTCTGCAGAAGGTTAGGCAGTGCTGGAATGTTCTCCTAAATTATTTCCTCATCTTAACATAAAAAAAGAACTTGAAAATGGTAGGAAAATGACAGGCCATGAGTCCCCTCTCTGACATACCACTATATATATTCACTGTGAAACCCACTGCACTTCCTCAGGAATCGTCCCACCTCTTTGTCAATCTCCCTAATGGCAAAAAAATTAAAAATAAAAAATAAAACACACTGTCTCCAAAGGAGGGCTTTGAACAGAACAGAACAGTGTTCCAGCCCAAAGGCAAAGATCAGAAGGCACCCCTCAGAAAGCCCTCTGCCACCAAGGCAGTGCTCTGGACTTACTTTTCCTTGTGTTCGATGGTCAGGACAGGAGGGCAGTCTGAAGCATGCAATGAGGACTGGGGCAAAGGTGGGGGTGGTGACAGCCGTGGGGGATCTCGAGTGGCCAGGCTAAACACACTGGGAGACTTGTCGACTCCTCTGCCTAGACCACCAGCTGCTCTTCCCAATGGTAATAAAGAGGAATCCAAACTCCCTCTTCCAAGCACTCTGAAATGGTGAAAAGGGAAGCAAATTAGAACTTTCCTAGTCATGTTTATATCTGCGCTTCATCTAGATCATTCTGTGAGTCTACATTCTCTTCTTTAGTCAGCCAAAGAGGCCCAGGCACAGCCTCAGCATTCTCTCAACATCGTGATGTCATGATTTGCTTGCCAACAGCCATCTTCCAGAGCAGGAGAGAGCATGCGATTCACCCAGATAAAGGAACCTCTCCAACCAAGGCGCTTTTTGAGAGGTAAATGAAGCTGTGGACAACCCAGGGAGAACCACTTTTCATCATTGCCAGTGACTTCCTGGATTAGCAGCAGCTCCCTGATCCCAGAAAATGTCCATCTTGGCAACATTAATGATAACATGCCCCCTCCCAGCGCTTTTCTTTCACCCTGAACCTGATGGTTGCATGAGAAGTGATTTTTACCCACCGATTCCAACCAACGGAGGCCTCTGCCAGCTTGCTATCCCCAGCAGCCAGCACCAAAGGGTCAGGAAATGTGGGACGAGTTTCTTCTTTGTCCTTGCGTGCCATGTTAGCAGACATGCCTCGACCCAAAATGCCTCTGCCTGAGTGGAAGAACCAAACTCAGCTGTAAATGTGAGTATGTTTCAAAGCACAGTTATTTTTCTTAGGATAAACTGTACAGATTTAGGCATCAAGCAATCATACATACAACCAAAGTTTCTCAAGTTAGTTTTTCACTTACCTAAAGGAGGCACTTCCTGTTTCAGAGGGGTCCGGGACATTGTCTCAAGGCCCATGCCTCGGAACATGGACACCAAACCCACAGACTCCTGGGAAAAGTTGATGAGTAAGTTATTTTAAGATGAAGTTTAAAACCCTAGAAACAATGGCTTTCTTGAAGCCTTGGTAAATAATAAAAATCAGCTTCTCCAAATTCTATAATGTTTTAAGACTAAGGGACAAAAATATTTTATAAAACTGGGCATGATGGTGCACACCTAAAGTCCCAGCAGCTCAGGAGGCTGAGACAGGAGGATTTCGAGTTCAAAGCCAGCCTCAGCAAAAGTGAGACACTAAACAACCCAGTGAGACCCTGTCTCTAAGTAAAATACTAAATAGGGCTAGAGATGTTGCTCAGTGGTCATGTGCCTCTGAGTTCAATCCCTGATACAAAAAAAAATTATAAATTTTTTTTCAGGCCAGTTATGGTGGCACATACCTGTAATCCCAGCAGCTCAGGAGGCTGAGGCAGGAGGATTGAGACTTCAAAGCGAGCCTTAGCAAATTAGCAAGGCCCTAAGCAATTCAGTGAGCCCTTGTCTCTAAATAAGATACAAAAAAGGACTGGGAATGTGGCTCAGTGGTTAAGTGTCCCTGATACTTAAAAAAAAAAAAAAAATTCAGGCTGGGGGTGTACTCAGACCTGGTAGAGTGCCTGCCTAACACATCCAGGGTTCCATCCCCAGGACAAAAAAGACAAAAATGTTTTCAATACTAATAATCACAGAACATTAGAGTTTCAAGCATAAATTGTTAGTTTGAAGTTCACAATCTGACGGGGTACTGTGGTACTTTCTGTAATCTCAGCTACCTGAGAGGCTGAGGCAGAAGAATCAAAAATTACCAACTTGGGCAACTTAGCAAGACCCTGTTTCAAATAAAAAAGAAAAGGACTGGGGATGTAGCTCAGTGGAAGAGTAAAAACCTGGGTTCAATCTCCAGTACTGGGGAAAGAGGTAATTCCATAATTTTCTAGTTTATTCTTTGTTTACCCAAGATAAGTGGGGAAAAATATATGGGCTAATAAATTTTCAGAAAGAACAGATCACTTTATGGGTATTAGAAATTTTCTTAATATTCTCCAAAAAAACTGCTAGTATTTTTCTGTAGCAGTCTGAAAAGTTTACTACAGTTACACAGATTAGAGCTGTGACATGACTAAAAGCCACCCACAGACTCGAGCAATTCATCTGAATAAACACACAAGAATATTATTGTTCACTTTTCTTCTAAAAGAATATTAAACTGACACTGACAACTCTAAAAATTATCATAACTGCATTATTAAGTTCTTCCTGTACATGCTCTTTAGCTTTGACATATATTAATTATAGACAAATACTGTTCTTAAAATTACTCTATAATTAACAGATTAAGGATGCACACACCCATTCACACTGCAGTAGCAATAGTTGAAGATCCTCTTTTTCTTTAAGATTTGGACAAAGAACTTTTAAAAGGAAAAATCTAACAACTGTTATCTCAGATGCAAGAGTTGCTGTCAATATCATAGAGTCCAACCAGGGTGAAAAATCTGAACACTCAGAAAGAAGCAACAGGGTGTGTGTGTGTGTGTGTGTGGTTTTATTTATTTTCTCTGCTCCCCAGTACTGGGGATTGAACCCATGACAGGCAAGTAGTCTACCACTGGGCTACATTCACGACCCCTTTTGAGAAAGGGTCTTAAGTCACCCAGGCTGGCCTCAAACGTGCAAGCCTCCTGACTCAGCTTTCCAAACAGCTAGGGTTACAGCTGTACTTGTTCAGCAACAAGTTGTACTTTTAAGCCTCCCAACTGTGATAGATAGACTAAAGCTAGAGGACTGATCAAGGGCCCTTACCCAAGCCCATCCCGTGTTTATTATGAGATACTTTATAGACTCTAGGATTTGAATTTTATACCCAGAAGATGCAACTATTTGTTGAAAACAAACAACCTCTTCATTTTGGTATGGACTTCCAGGTCCCAACGAACCCTGAAATCCACTCCTTCTCTGTTCACACAGCTAAGCTGTATGCCAATCCTGTACAACCAGATGTGGTCTTACCCTTTGTGCTGACCGGTTCTGTGAGCTGGGTACCTCTGGCTTTCCAAACATATGGCCTCTGCCTGCAGGCCCTGCCCTACCCAGAGCTGAGTCCAAAGGTCGAGGAGTTTGTGGCCAACGGCCTGGCATCCGCACGCCCCTGAATGGTGGTCGGACCGGATCCATTGCAAGTCAGCAGTGGACACAGATGTTGAACCTGTTTTGGTTAATTACCTGTCAGCATTGGGAAAAAGATTAAATTCCCAATTGTTTTCCTTTTCCTTAGAGAAAGACTCACAAAGCATTACAAAATATACATATATATTTACTTTAAGTTGATGTGACCAGGCTTTTATAACATATTCACTTGGAAAGCTTCTATATGAGCCTGGAAAATTCTAATTAACAATCCTTTAAAAGCCCAATCTCTTCTCAAACTTACATTTTCTATCCAAACAGCCTCAGATAATGCAGTTCTCTAAGTTAACCACCTGTTGTAGAAGGATATACATTTTATATGCGGAGATGATTCTGGTTTATAAACTTAACATGGCCATATCATAAAATTATTCTATCTATAGGATTTTGCCCTCCTTTACCAAATTTTTATTTTTTCCAGTCTGTAATTGCATTAAGCTCATCTTCGTGATTTCTTTGGTCAACTCTCTGAATCTTTATCCAATTCCTTTCTACAAAATGTTTCTTTCAAACTCCACTAGAACAGAGGTCTCCAGGGTACAGAACCTTCCTACTCTGAACCTACAATATGGGCTGGATCTCACAATTCCATTTAACACTCTTCCCATTCCCCAAAATCTCAGGCCTCTTCAAAATCACTTTGTATTCTACAAATTTCAGGACTCCCTCTCTGTAACAGCTCCTCTTACTGTCCCAACCTGCCTCTAATCCCCGAAATTGTTGTTTTGTTGTTGTTGTTGTTTGTTTTTGCAGGGCAGAGGATAGAATCCAGGGCTTTGTACATGCTTAACACACACTTTACTACTGAGCTACATCCCCAGGCGGAAGAATCTTTCTTAACTGAAAATTAAGTAAGCCTCTTCTTAATTTTTGAAAATCTCTCCATGACAGATCACCCCACGCATATAAAGAAAAGACAGTAAGGGTGGAGGTAGTCAAGGATTTGCAAAAAGTTTTTAACTTATCTATCCTTTCTTAAATAGTTACGGCTTCATTCTCAAATTACAGTGGCTCTCTCCTTTTGTTGCCAAAACCCGGGATTCCTTGCCCACATTTCCCCAACCCCAACTAAAAATCAAGAACAATCAGTTGCCTAACTGGCACATACTGAGAGGTGCTATAACACCCACCAATCACAGAATCCTCTTTTGCCACCCTTCCCTGAACCACACCAGCATTTCCATTAACTTGGGGCACTTCTTTAAAGTCCATTTCCTCATTTCATTGGTTAGCTCTCTGCTGACTGAAAGGTTCAACAGGGAAGGGAGCCAGGCCAGACCAGCTTTCCCTGCCTCTTCAAGCACTGCTCTGAGCTGAGGCACTAGGCCCAGGCCTAACCCCAAACCAGGACCCTAAACGCAAATCCACCCCCCCCCTTTTTTCCACCTAGGGAAAAGGACTTTTTGTTCAAACCAACAGCTCTTGTGCGGGTCTGATTACCCCCAAACCTTGCGAGGGTCCTCCCTCCTCCCTCCGGACACCTTTCTGTACTTTCCCAGTGCTCCGCTCCTCCCACCCACCCACTCGGCCTCAAATAACGACTTCCCGCCCCCGCCCCACCCAGAGCCCCAGGGCACCTCGCGTCTCCTGGGGGGTCGGGAGTGGGTGGGATGGCCCCAGCCACCACCATATGCTAGAGCAAAAGCCCACCCAGCCCTTACCTGCAGCTTGGCCCCCTTGGCCTTCCACACCTGACTCCTGTCCTCTCACCTGGGCTTACGTCCTCCCCAGGCCCTATGGCACCTTGAAGAACATCGCACTCAAACCCATCCGCCACGCGGAAGGATCCACGTGCTCCCCACACAGTTTTCCGATGGAGTGCAAAACCGAGGCTTAGCCCATTGGACAAATCACATGCCACTCACAATATCCAGCCATCTCATTGGTTCGTCTGAAAAGAGGCAGTTCATTTGGACCAGCTTCACTTTGCAAGGAGGTTCATCCGAAAGGATTGTTAGAAATTAAGCGGCAGCCTGAGCATTTAAACGTTTTTGAGGTCCTAACTCCCTTTCCGTGGGCAACTCTTGCGCACAGATTTAGCTTACATGCTCTTGTGGAAATTGACTTGCCCCATTTCTCCCAATTAGAAGATATAGTGATAAACACACACACACACACACACACACACACACACACACACACACACACACACACACACCAGTAATCTTGGGACTGGATGTGTAGCTTAGTTGTGGACTGTTTGCCTAGCTTGCACAGGCCCCCGGTTCAATCTGTAGGCATCAACAGGGTTGTATGGAAAGGTACAAACGATAATGTATGTAAAATACTTAGTACAAGGAGATGATCGCCCCGCCCCATGCTATTATTATTGGTACATTAATGGATGAGCTGAGTAGAGCTTCTTCAAACTAGAAAATTATTGATTCTGCAATGAAAGCATATTTTCACCCAAAGAAATATTTCTTACCCTTCTTCCAAACATTTTGGCAAGTAATTTTGCCCCATATCAACCTATAGATTATAGGAAGTGATTGGGGCCATTTCTGGAAGATTTGGCAGGTGCTATGGAGACCTCCAGATAGCTCTGCATGGAACTGAACTAGAGGAGGATTGTAGACCTTACCTTTTAAGGCCTCAAATATTTCATGCCTTGTTTCAATCCATATATTCAAGGATCCTCCTTTCCATCTTGAATGAGAATAGAGTCTGAAAACTATTTGGAGTAGGAAGGTAGGAATGAAATTGGCAGGATGTCCCCTCACTGTTTGTACAAGTTAACATTGTAAATTCCTCTACCCCTTAACCTGCCTAACTTAGATGTTACATTGTTATGTTATAGATAGGATTCTGTTGCTTATGCAAACATTCAGTAACAAGTGCAATAAAAATCAGTTACATAAACTATTCTGTAACTTTGATGAAGTCCCAGCTCCCAGTCCTTTTTGGAACTCTCTTAGTCCTTTTCGGAATCTACACCTGCATGAAAGATAAATTCATCATACATGAAACAGTATTTTAGGGACTGGATTCAGCGAGTGATATAAGGCAACAGTAATTTTCAAAGCACATCTGTTTTGTAATCTAAATCAAGATCAACATAAAAAAAAAGGGTACATATTGGGTTCCTTAGATTGCTACACAACATTCATGCAAGAGAAAGTGGCCTCTGTACAGTATTTGTAACCAGTTCATACATCATGAATACTACTTATTTCACTAAATAAAAATTCATATCAGGGCTAGGGATGTGGCTCAAGCGGTAGTGCGCTCGCCTGGCATGCGTGCGGCCCGGGTTCGACCCTCAGCACCACATACAAACAAAGATGTGTCCGCCGAGAACTAAAAAATAAATATTAAAAAAATTCTCTCTCTCTCTCTCTCTCTCTCTCTCTCTCTCT